TATTCTGTCCGAAGTCTGGAGACAAAGTTAACCATCAATCACCGCTGGAAATTGTAAATAGGAAACTTTACTCGCGGGAACCGAAACGAAAACGGAGCGCAATTAAAAGAAATCCCGTATTAACCGGGAGATAAATCATTTTTCCCGGGCTTTTCTTCATTACTTATATACTTGCGAGCGTTTGAAATTAACAATCGTTCGATGAAAGTTGCAAATGAAAAAAAACTAAGTTACAATACCCCGAGCTCCGAAATTATTCATTAAAATTAATTTGATCGACAAATATAAACATTTTATCAACTTTCGCTAAGTATTTCGAAAAGTTCCGAGAGTTGGATTAGGGGTTTAATTGAAAAACTCCGGGATTAAAACTTCCATCGGCACGTCCGAACGTCTCCCGAAAAGAACCTAATTATAAAAAATACACAGGTTAAGAAAATCCAATTCCCGCTATATGTTATAACAGAAGAATAAAAGGTTATTATTCGAGAATAAAGTTCGACGCGCACGTATCTATATATTTATATGATCGCGGGGACGAGTTTAACAGGGCTGAAACTACTTCATAAAATATTTATGCCCTTTCGGATAAAAATCGCGGGGGTGTGATCGATGAATAGATATATACAGATCGAGATGCATTATTCATCGGAATTCCGGAGTTCGAAACAGTCCGACACCGAAGTTTTCGAGAACCGCGGGGCATTTATTTCGGACAACGTACACTTTTCCGTTCCGTTTTCCCCGAGAAAAACAATCTTTTTGTTTGTCCGCCCGGAGGCAGACGAACGATCGCTTTACGTTTCCTTCGATAACATCCTTTTTTTCGATTTTATTGTTTGGTTATTGATGTGATTTTTAATAAAATTGTGTTCATTAAACTCTAGTATACACACATTATGTCTATATAAAAAATTAAGGGGGTTGTAACTGTCGCTGTAAGGGGGTTTAATGTTTTTCTAGAATCTATACATACCTTCACTATTATATTAGATAAAATTGAACATATGGGAAGTTATATCTATGGTTTTTGTAGTCCAAACGGGCCTGAATAGACTTACGTAGCGTCTGTTTTCCCTGTTGAAAAGCGTTTATATAATTTTCTTATGTTCCTTCGAGTATCCCGCCGTCGAGACCTTATTCAAATACATGCACATAAATCACATTTAAATGCCCGGCTCGTAGCATGTGCGATAGCCTTGGGAGCACTCGACGTACTTATGGAAAAGAAAAGGTTAACGAAAAGGAAATAATCCCCGGAAAGTTCATTTCGAAACTTACATAGTCGAGTCGATCGAAAGTAGAAAGCATAAAGCCTTTTTTTCCCGGTGCGCCGTATCGTTTAAATAATAAGGTTTCCGATCGGTTCGTCGGAATATATCCTCAGACGTTTTGGGCCGTTTGTCATGGGGGATAATTGACGAGCGGGGCTCCGGACCGCGAGAAAGTACGCCCGTCGAAATTAAAGTGTATCAGAGTATGAAGCCAGAACCTGGGGGCTCGATAACGCGTCCCCGGCGTATTAGCGACTCCCGGCTATTTGAATTCCAAAGTAACTCACGTAATATTTCGGATCCTTCCATCTGGAAACTTTCGCATTTTGTCCGATAATTTCGACCGAGACGGCCGCTCGACGGCGGAAGTTCGCGGGGATGCCTCCCCGGGGGCATGAATTTTGTATAATGCGTTTCGGCATTTCGATGGAAACTATACCGGTGATTTTCAATTTTTGTCCGAAACCTCCTCGAGCAGCCGGCTCCTTTTGTTATTGTTCGATTAATTACATTCCGACTATGCGAAGTTGCCGTTACTCCGAGCCGTTCAATTTCCATTGTAATTAGAAAACCTCAAAAGCAAATAATTCCGGGCCGCATCGATTCTCCTCTCGGCCGGAGTACTTAAATTTTCGCGGCCCGCTGAAACCGCACCTAATTGAAATTCATTATCGGATTAGCTTATAAACTCTTTCCCTCGGACGATCTCGTGTTTTTAATTAGAAATTTTAATTCGCTTTCCTAGCCCTCCTCCGGCGGCGTTCTCTTTTCCGCCGAAATGGAAGTTTTATTGCCCGAAAATGGAAGATGATAGCCGCGTTTTTAATAGAGACTAAATGAATAGATCGGGCGAAATTTCGCAAACTTCGTTAGCGTTCGAGCGAAGCCGGTTTGATGCGGGGGGAAAGGGCGAAAAATTCACTTCTATACTAGTTACTTCATTTAATCTCGTTTGGATTTAATTTAATCGAAAAACAACAAGAGGTTTATTTCCTCCATTGAACTAACTAAATATTCATTGGAAAATTTTATTTTTATGAATATGTATTTCACCAGGATGTATTTAAAATATATTGATCGCGTTCTTGATTGGCTATCGAGCTTTATTTACAAATAATTAGCTCTAAATACAAACAAAATGCCACAACAAACCCGGCGTATAAGTTAAAATAAATAAATGGAGTCGGTTAGTTACGGGCGAAATGAGTTTGTTTATTTCGAAAACACTCCCCCGCGATTCGCTACAATTTAGCGCTCGTGCAAAAACCGCTGAGCTCCGAATAGTTTTAGGACAATTTCGATGGGAGATTGCATTTTTCGTCTTCGAACGAAATCTCAATTCCTGCGGAGAATTACGGCCGAATTTCGAATAAACTACCGGCAGCTGAATCTAATACACTATCGCTTCTCTCCACCTAAAATGGAGCTCCGATTCGAAAATAGATCCCGCTCGAGACGCCGAGATTTGTATCGAAAAGCTGCACGGGCGAGCAATAAAAATCAAATTCGAACCGGCCAGTCGCCTTGTAATCGCAAAACTTACGTTTATTTACAGCGAAATCCGTAAGAATAGATCACATTAGTTCGATAGGTTGCGATATTGCGACGTTACGTTATTTTGACGTTACGTTATTTTGACATTACGTTATTTTGACATTACGTTATTTTGACGTAACGTTATTTTACGTGTGCGTTTTACGTATGCGATAATTTCCAATGTTTTAAACTTTAAACAGTCTCTTACATTGGTTTATGTATGGTTGAAGCTTTTTGAAATCCAATCGGAAGCTCGTCGGCGAGACATTGATTGCCCGCAATACATCTGTTACGTCCGGAACAACAAAAACCCTAATAAATCCCGAGGGCGTTAGCAGGGCTCCGCCGTTTTAGAAACGCAAAAAGAACGCGGGAGTGTGTTTTTTTTTTCGAAAACATACTGGCGTTTTAAATCATTCCAATAATCGAACGTCTGCGCCGCCATTTAACCGAACGTCTGGAGTGACGGGAACAAAGTGGGTTTTAAAGGATTATTTGTTTCGAATAAACTGCTCCAAAGAAATAGCGTTGCGCTATTTTGACATATGTCACCAAACGTCAAGTACTTCAAAATGTATGTTTGAAACGTTTGCCGGGAGGTAGGTGGCGCGTAAAGCATTCAAATAGTGCCGGTAAAAAACGAAATTGCGCTATAAAAATATCAATACATTTTCGAATCGGCAATTCCGCCGGCGAATGAAAAGGTAAATAATTTTTATCTGCTTTAATTCCGCCATTAAACTAAGAGCCTTTCCGAAAGTATATTCCACATAATAATGCTCCGAAGAAGCCATAAATCCTTTTTTACGTTTTCTGAGTTTTCGTCTGGAATCCAAATTTATCTCCGTCCGTTAGCGTCGCTGATGCTTTACGACGTCGAACGCGAAAAAACAGATTCGGTTCTCGTTCATCGAAAAACTATAAGGTATACTAGCGAAAAAATAACGTAAAATTCCAGATTAGTTATTATACTTTGAAAGCTTTCTCGCATTAGAGTTTTCCGAACGACGCGAAACAGTCCCTAATTTTCCTACCCCTAGCGCAGTCGGGCCAGTCGTAAAACCGACCTTTTTCTCCCCGAAATGGTAATTGTCAACCAAAATGTTCTCGAATAAATTAATCCTTTAGACGTACAACAAACTTCGATATTACCTACACTAAGAAAATAACTCATATTGTTCCTAATTTTTAATTTTTTACGGCCCCTTATAAGATGTTAGATCTCATAAAATAGGTGCTCGACTCGAGCCTACCGCATTCGAATGCGATATAAATTACAGTCTAATTTCAAGTACCGATTCTCCGTAACTTCCAAGATCCCGGTAATAGCAATTTTACGACTCGAGGAGACTTTAAGCTAAGCTCCGAGGATATATCCCGCACTCCTGGCGGAACGTACGCTCGACAACAACCCGACAATTCTTCGTTCTCGGTTTAGTAAGCAGGCGAAAATTCAAATCGAACCCTCATAACCGAGCCCCTTCGAGGACAATTATCGCACCTGCCTGAAGGGCCCCGCAAATCACTTTAATTGCTGCCGATAACAAACGCAACTTTGCGACGCCCTTCTCCCGCCGGCGTTCTTTTTTCGCCCTCCCGCAGGATTCGAATGGGGCGCGCTGTTAGTTACAGCCAGGCGGGTTTTCCTAACGAGAAAACTATCCTGCTCGCGGAAAATCCGATGACTCGATTATCAAGGAAATCACGGTTTTGTAAACAATTACTCTCCGGCAATTTTCCTGGCTGCATAATGAGCGCTACATCTGCAGGCGCAGTCCGCCTAGTCAAAGGAGAATTAATGGAGGAAATCATGTTTTAATGAGGTTACGCTTCCGGTATACGAGCGTCAAGGTCGTGAACTTAAATTATAAAGAATTTACTGTTTTCGCAAGCTTGTTATTCCTGCTGTGTTAGGTGCAGGAAACGTTGCAATAGCGGCTCAAATGTACGCAGACGGCTTGTGCATCGATAGCAGCACTACGTAATTACCGCTTATTGCAGGAGCCTTTGAACCTGTGTTTATCTGATATACAGTCTAAGTGGCTTGCCTTCTATTCCTGCAGCTTTCTAAATAAATTACTATTTGCTCCTTTAGCGAGCAAATTCTGAATTGTTTTGATGCGATCTTGTGTAGTACGTTAATGTAGCAATTTTCATTAGACGATTGTAATTGTGTAATTTTTGTTGCAGGAGTTGTTTTGTCCAATTTCGAGGAAGATTTATTAAGTAATAACATTAGCATATACCCGTATTTTGAATTCAACGTACCAAGAAATGTAACAACCACCGTCGGGCAAACGGCTTTCCTTCACTGTAGAGTAGAACAATTGGGAGACAAAGCGGTGAGTATTACTACAAAAAACTTCTAACGTTCGGTTTCGATTTTCAATTTAAACTTCCGCAAAACGAGTTATGCATATAACGAATCGCCATCGATTTGTAACGAAACGTTCCGGAATCGAACTGACATGCGGGGAAACTTACGCGTATGTGCCTCCGGTGATTGATTAGCTGCTAAAGCGCGATTGCGATTTAATTCGAAACGAAAAGCGTAGTTTTTAAATCGCCTAATTCCCCCGCATTCGGAGCGACGCGACGCGAAATGGCGTTAAAAAAATTGTATGTAACAGGACGGGGAATCCGCGGACTCGCCGCGAGGCGCTCGAAGACATTAAAACGGAACAGGCGGAAAACAAATAGGCCACTAAGAGAATTTCAAAGTGAAAAAGATGCGAGTAATGTAGCTGTAAAATTCCATTCTGCGAAGTGTGAATTCTGAGGATAAATCTGTCCGAAAATAAATGTCTGCGCCCTTAGGCGTAGAGGTTGAGGGAAAGGTGCTTTCGCTTGAAGGATTATGTTGAAAATGGTGTCTCATTTAATAGTTTAATTATTGGCGAAAGCGCTACTGAAATTTTTATTCAATGGTTGGAAGTTTCTTTCGGTGGAATTTCGAATTACGTCAAGAATCCAAAGGGACTAAAAAGGAAAAATATGCGTCCGAAAATGTATCAGCGAATGAAAAACTTCACTCGGAGCGCCGAAACAACTCACTTTCAGGACCCATTCTCGCAGGGCTCCCCAGGGCTCGACCGCCGAATCCTCGCCGGATACTCCGCCGAGATAACAACGATAAAATTCTTCCAGAACGCCCTCCGGAATTAATTCAACCGTACTTTTTACACCAAATTCCGCCGTCGATGGGACTGATTCATGTACACGAGAACACCCGTCTTCATCAAACTAATCACGAGCTGGGGCACAGGCGCCCTATTTATCGCCGCCCGTCATTCTTCCTACCTCTTCATAACGCCACCGGCTCGATGATTACGGCTCCATCGCACCTCCAATTTGTCTTTTTCCCCGGGGAGAGCTCGCCGGAGGCGCGGCCGCCTCCCTCGCAGCCGCCTCGAATCTGACAATTAATTGCTTCATTTCATTTGAATCTGATGCTAAGTGAATTAGACGCGGGGTAAATTTATGCAAGGAGAGTCCGAGCGAAGTGATATTAATACGTCGGGGGCGGCCCCGCGACGGACGAGCCGGCGACGGCGAAGGTGCGCGCCGTCTCCGACGTGTTTGCCTAATTGTTATTAGTTTGCTTCGAAACTCCAGGGATTAAAGTGGATCTAATGTTATCAAAAGTTTATCAGGTAGAATATGTGAAGGAATCGCTAACGCCTCGAACGATTGGAGACTTTCGAAAGAACTAAATGGACATTCGCTGTGAGAAATTAATATGAATTTTGTGATTTTTTCGTCGGTGGCATCTCTATTGTGAGGGGGCTAGAAAAGTTTTCGAATTAAGGGCGCGCGCGGCGCCGAACAAATCGAAAAGAACCCCGACGAAAAATGACCGTAGTTAAATTGAATACACGTCAAAAAGGATATTTCATCAAAAAATAAGTAATAGCTTGACAGGTTCTCCATTCAACTAGGTTGGACGCGGTCCGTTTTTTGCGTCCTCCCAGGAAGCGAACGACTGTTGTATATGTCAGAGAAAAATTATACCGGCTCGCAAATCACGCGGGGAATTTTATGACTATAACAGTGCATTCGAATAGTTTGTTTTTTTTTTCGTCTCTACTCCTCGGCGGGTTTTTGTAAAATAATTTCGTCAAATCCCTTTCGCTGGGAATCCGCGTGATTTATCCCCGCTTTCGCGAACCGGTTACCGAAAAGTAACGGGCCGTTTTCGAATAAAAAAAAAGAAGACGTTCGGGGAGTTTTAAATAGAATTTCGTGATTTATGCGCTATCGATTCGGCGTTAGGCTATCGGTGTTCTTCTGTAAAACTTCATTTGCGGATTAAAATTCGTTTGTAACCGACTCTGCACTAAATTCTTTTAATTGTGGGTAGTTAAAGTTTATGAGACTTTTTCAGGATGATATACAGAGTGTTCAAAAAGTATGGAAACGGTAAATTTTCAGTAAAATTGCTTTATAAGGGAAGTTTAAAGGATGGGATGCGGGGTTATGAAATAAAACGTACGCGGGTAAAATTGGTAGTGAAAATACCAATTCCATTCCACTTGCATTTGCCACATTGTGTTACCCAAATTCGAAAGAAACATTTAGCGAATTCGCTCGAACGCTGCAAAATGTAGCAATCCGAACTGCAATTTCTGCTAGCGACATCTGACTCCAACTCGACAACTTCGAATGCTAACATGCCCTTCAGCCCTCTCGGCGTGTTCTCGTTATAATTACCTCCCCGAAACGCAAACTTACAATCCACCTCTTTTCATCTCATTAACCCGCAACTCCCCCTGATCGAACGAGCGCAAACCGCCTTATGCTAACTGTATTTTTCCCGAAACCCGGCTAATTCCATTTAATCGTTCCTATACGGATAATGCAATCCGGATCTGATTCAATTTGTACGCCGTTTAGGGCACGCGCGCCCTCTTGTTTCTTCGATCTTCGCCGTATAAATCTCCGGGAGCTCGATAAACGTCGCGAAAACGCGGTTTTTCGTTTTGCGATCGGCCGCAAGCTCCGTCCGGTCCCTTTTAAAAGGCGCGAACCGATCGCGTCTGCGTCGCGACGCGCCGGATGCAGGCCGGGGGGCTGATAAACTACTCGAGATAAAGGGCGAATGTTTCGAAAACTAAGTTTTACAAGTCGCGTCGGGAAATTTATCGGTCTATAAGGGGGTTTTGTTATCCTATTATAAGCGACGTGGAAAATTTTATATTGTGGAAATTTATATTGTGTTTCGAAACGCTGTTGTTATTATGCGACACCCTGTAAATCACGATATAATTTTTTGGGAGTTTTATTGTTATTGTTTTCTCGTATATTCCTGTCGAATTTCGGCTCGTTCGATAAATAATTCACCCACAAGAATGGTATGCAAAAGTGGGCCATAAAAGTCGTCGATCTTGAAATATTTCGTTGAAAAAAAAACAATAAATCAATTTGTTTTGTACAATCGATTGCAATTTAATGAGGACTAAATCAAATGTGTCTCTAATAATTTTTCGCCACGTTACATTTATTTATTGAAATCGAAATATATGAATATGTAACATATTTAGAGATTTATAGCGTTCGAATTCCTGGCGTTCCATTTTCGGTTAGTTGGATACTTTTATACATCCCCTCGTAACAAATAATAAACCTAAATTCACTGTAATCTAACCACTGTTATTTTAATAACCTTTCTTTGTTCAACTTATAGAATTAATCATATAGTAAACACATTTGCATTTACCTACTCATACCTTCAAATTTTCACAAAATTCATCTTCAAATTGGTTACCTGTGCACAACATGTTACTCGCTTTGAACATGACATTACCATGCCAAAGTCGATTTCCTGACGAATAAAGTTAGATAACTTCGTTCCGGTCCCGGTGCACTCGGAGGGAATTAGAACAGAAGAAGCCGCGGCGTCGCGGCGCATTTTCCCCGCGTACCTGCGGGAGAGTGGCTGCGGCTCGTCGCCCGGAAGAGGAAGACAATAACGGGCCCGATCGGCCGTTAATTGCGGGCCCTTTCGGCGCGGAAACCGTGCCCGAAATTAATTTAACTTTTGTCGTTGGCGTCGTCGCGCTTGAAATATTGGGGCGTCACAAAAGGGCCACCTATCGACTGCGACTTTGAATACATTCGGGCGAAAGTTCGGGATTTTTACGAGCTCGCAGAGTGAGAGCGGGATGCGAAAATATTCGAAGACCGCGGGCCGGCTTTATTAGGTATTTCGTGTTGCGCGATTAATTTCCGAACGTCCCTCGTACGCGAGGAAACTCCGGGATAATTTTTTTTGTTGTTAATTCCGCTACGGCGAATTTCGCCGTCCGGAAATCTTGTTGTCGGGCGGTTTATAATTGTTTTCTCTGCTGCGACCGACTACTTTCTTTCGTAATTCGCTTATTTTTTTAATTTTATAGTGGAAAAATTTTATTGTCGGCTCTGTGCGGGTTGCTCTATTTTGCGCTTTGCGGCGTTTTAATGGCGAAACAAGCGGAAATTGAATGGAATTTCGCTCCGACTTCAGACAATGCTCTTATTAAACTGCACAAAATAATTCCTTGCGGGCTGTATACAGATATCGAGTAAAAAAAACTGGTTTTAACCCAATTGTATTCTATAGAATTTTATGCATTTCTCAAATCTCATCTCTCCTATACCGATTCAAACAAATAGAAGAAATTTTCGAACAACTTTTATATAGATATCCACATCAGTAACTCGAACTCCATAAAATAAATACACATTTATAAGGTAGATCTACAATCTCCATAGTAGAAAACCGGAGCATGATTTACGACCGACTTTATCATCCTCGTCTTCGCGTCGAATTCGACTTTAATTTACAAGTCTCCGGCCGGCTCCGGTCGCAGCTTTATTACATCGGTACGCGCGGAATTTTTGCATAAAAAATCCGGATCGCCGGTGTGCGGCTACAGTTACCGATTCGCGGAGAGGAAAAAACTCCGGCCAGAATTAAGTTTCCGTTAATAAAAAGTTATGCGGGAGGAGAGCGCGCGCTTTGCATGCATTATGCTAAAGCGCCTTTGCGATAAAAAAAGTTTTTCCGCGAAAGTTGCGCCGAGGTGGGATGCAATTTCAGCGGCCGTCTGGAGACGAATTTCAGACGGTTCTAATCGACTGGAAAGTTTTTACTTCGTTAATAACTCGAAATCGAGGTGTATGGTGTGCGGAAATTTCATTACCATCCTCGTATGTTAATTTAGGAACTTTATTTTACCTCCATCGTATGAAGCTGTTTTTGAGAATTTTATTAATCCTGCAAATTAATTACAAATAATTAATCACTCACAAATGTGCCTTTTTTCAAATTTTATTAGATATATTGAACTGTAATTAACAAAAATAACAAAAAAAAACAACGTTCACATCAATTTCATTTTTATAATATTTATATGTCATATCAAGAAGCTTATTTTACTGCTATCGGTAAAAAAATAGGTCGTTTTCGGAGAAACTTTAATCAAAAAATGAAGTTACATTGAAAGCACACCTTCACAACAAATTCACATACACTTAGCCAGTGTACGAAAAAAGTATACGTCAAGAAACAAGCAGATTAATGTATTCCATTAATAAATATCCTCATACTTTTAAACTTTAAACACGTCTACAGCACGTGATATATCTAAATATACACTTAATAGCGAACGTTCAACTCTACAGAATTTAACAAAAGTAAAACAGCACTCGCGACTTCCCGACTGTCAAGCTAGAAAATGGCGGAAAAATGCTGTCGAGGTAGATCGTACTTAAACGCTCGTGAAAGTACTCTAAACGATCTAAAACATTTTAGAAAATAGATAAGTACACAGCAGCAGGAGCACGTTGAAGGCGGAGACCGAAGACAGGCTCGGCGCCGAGTTGCAGAACATCTTGTGCACCAGCTCTAAGTAGTCGTCGACCATTTTAACGGGAGTTTGCGTGGGACAGGAATCCATTTTGCTGACGATGCATTGCCTGACCTCTTGGAAATCGCTGAAACGAAAAATCCCATTATTCACTCCATCGATATTCTCTCTACTTTTATTAATTTTCTCCCCCAAAATTCACTGTTTTTTCCCCAATCACTAACATTATTATCGATAATTTTACTAGATGAGTTCCCACGGGGAATTTATTATTTTTTGTTGTTGAGAAAAATAGATAAATCTTTTCCGTTCGGGGAATCCCGCCCCGGGGCCTGATTCTGTCTAGACCAAACCGCATCAACTTCGGCTCTAGCTCTAAATAATTGAAAACTCGGTCACGAAAAATATTATTTCGCTTATACAAGAAAATAGCTTTGTCACATCGCTCTCGCGCAAACAGACAATAAATATGGATGGCGCGGCGACAAATCGCCATATACAGCTTATCGACCGTTTATCGCGCTACTTACGAGCAATCCTGATTGTCGAATTGCAATTTCGGCTTCAACTGATCCGCCTTCTCCCTTCCGCAATCTTTGATATCGTTGCTGACGGTCATCAGGCAACCGGCCGCCTGCGGATCGTGGAGGAGCTCTAAAACGCAAACGTTAAACCAATCCTACAATCGAAGCCATCGGAACTCACCGTCGATGCGCTGGTGGTTGTCGTCGCAGAAGAAGTTATTGGTCGCGTCCATGAACGTGAGGTAGAGGTTGAAGTCGGCGTACTCGGTGTCGTTCAGGCAGATCTTGACGTCGTCGAAGATGGGCTGGACGCAGTTCTTCGAGTCCGGCCAGATCTGGCAGATGTCGTCGAAGGCCTTGTCCATCGCGTCGTCGGAGCCCGTCCGCTGGGCGGCGCCGATCTCCTGCTGGATGCGGCCGAAGTCCAGCTTGCCCCCGATGCAGGCGAAGGCGTTCGACACTTTATTCTGAAAGCGAGAAGAGTTACTGGCGAGTTAGAGGCTTCCTTCGGGTTGAGAGGGTTACCTCTAGACCTTGGGCGACGGACGCCTTGCCGGCTGCTTCGCATTTTTCCTCGAGGCTGGTGATGATGGGCCGGATGGACTCCATGGCCTGTTGCATTGGTGAGGCTTGCTGTTGGTTGAACGCTCGGTTGTGGTTAGATTGGAATTGTAGTTTTTTGTAAACATTGTTGAGATCCTGGCAAGTCGCCAATCCTGCGAAAGGAATATTTTATATATCCTTATCTTATCGACCGGTACAATAATTTAGCTAGTTTATCGCAAAATATATTTCACACGTGCAATATTATAGCATCTATATTTTTAATTATTAATATTGGAACTAATATTAATAAATCGCATATGGTAAATATTAACTCAACGAGGCGTCACTATTATGTAAGTATAAATATAGGATTCTTCTAATTCGTGTTTGTTATTTTTTTGGGTTAATTGGTTGTTTCCTAATTAATTAAAGTGTGTAATTAAAACGAATTTTCGGCATCGTTTTAATTCGTCTATTACGAACTGCCCAAATGATAATTTATATGAATAACTTTATTCGAAGTGTTTTATTGGTTCGCTACTGTTATACACGTGTTGGGAATGGCAAATTTTCATATTGGTCTTGACCTATTATAAGCACTCCCAGTCTATTTCGGGAAATTTTCAAGGACTTTTCGACGGGATTTGATCGTACACTAATGCGTTCCAGTTATTTTTCTATACGAAACTAAGGCGCCGAGTTAATCAAGCTAATATCGAGTCAATTAGAACAATTTAAATTTGTTTCGTGAATTTGTGAATTAATTTTTTTATTGTCGCTTATCACTAGAAATAAAGGAAGAATGAATGGCTATAAAATAAAATCGAATCGAATAAATAAATCGATGGGAAATTTCGTGTGCAAACGTCATGAAACTATTCAATTTATTCGCTTTGTAAATACTTAATTTAATTAAAATGTATTATTGTGCGTTCGATAAAAAAGGTGCGTTTGAAGTGGGTAATTAATTTAAATTCAATTTTCTACAACTGTTTTGGAAACCTATCGATGCTTAAAAATGTTTATGCGGCCCACATTCAAATCGAAGGTTGTTTATTTTAATGTTGCGAATAATAAATTTTATTCGACTGTTAAAGTACGCATCAAAAATATGTTTATCAGTCATTAAAAATCTCCCTTATTCCGCTTCTTTCGCATTCGCATTTCATCCTACCGCATAAGCGTAGATTCAGGGAAAAAAATCATTTAATCTCTCGTTTTTGGAAGCCTCCCGTAACATCCTATATGCACGCCGCTGCTCTGCTATGTACAACAAGATAAAATTTAAGTATCCCCATCGATTTTGCATCATTTTTTAACCGGGTATGACTCGCATTTCCATCAAAGAATCATCCAACTTACGTATCAGCTCGTAGACAACGGCGGTACATTAAACTTCCAGGGTGTGTTCTCAATCATTTCGTCGTAAAATGAACAAACCGGGGCGTGGAATGATGGATGTTTGGTCATCACGAAGATATAAAGTCACGCCCGACGCACACCGAACCGCACGCTGACCTTTTTATTCGGTATTTTAGGCCCCCCCGAAAACCGTATGAAATATTCCGGTCGCCATCAGGGCGATGCTTTTCCGGTAGGTTCGATTCCGAATGGTGGGCTAATTAATTTTCGCGATGCGGAATGTCGCGAATTTCGTTAATCAATCGAGAGGTATTTACGAATCAACGTGAAGTTGGGTAGGAGTTTTTGCCGGGAAATTCGCAAGCAATAACGGGGGTGTCTATACTGTTTAATGTCGCGTGAATAGTATTTGTACTTGCGTGAGTTCGGTCAGTTATCCGGTTTAATTTGCGTAATAAACCGGAAACTTGCTTTCCTAACTCATTACCGAAATTACCCCGTTTTCACTTCAAAGTGGCGTTTCTTCCAGCAGTTTAGAAGCCCGAATTACCATTTTGGCTCTACTAAAAATTAGTCGGTTCAAAAAGTCGAACAAAAAGTTGATAAATTAATTCAAAATATCTTCTCAACAAGAATTAAAAATAAAATTTAACCTTGGCGATTTCGACATTCTGCTGTGAGAGTGTGTTTAATCAAGAATAGAATATTTTACGAGTATAAACATTTTTTTACAACTTCTATACCTACTTAATCAGAAACCTCGCATTCTGCGGGTTATCATTTTATGCACGATAATTACACATGTTGCAGTAATGAAGCAATTTGTTTTTTTTTATATACTGCCTAATAATCTACGTTTTTGGCAAAATGGTAAATTTGACTGAAAAACAGCTCCCGTTGCCAATTTCATTCTGCGCTGGAATTCCCCATTTTGTCCGGCATTTTCGATCTGCGTGTACTTAATAAAGCGCACGATTTTCTGCAACAACCGCCGAACACTCAATAATTACCCGTGCAAACAAAACGGGGAAGGTCCGATATTTCCAATCGAAAACTTGTTTGTTTATTATAGATGTGTATTCCAATTCGTTATCTTTGCACTAATGGCGTATTTTAACGAGACCCAACTGAATGTTAAGCGAAAATTGCGATAGAGGAAGATCGTAAGTGTGAAGAATAATGGTTGGTTAGAGCCGTTTCAATCAATAATATACACAGTTTAGGGAGTGTTCGAAAAATAAAGCAAAACAATTAGGTAACTAAAAATATAGGAGGGCGTAAGGAACATTGAATATACATTGAATTTTAAAAATATAATTTTTGTTGTCTAAAAATTTGGAATTTATTTAAATTCTCTATAATTGAGTGCTATATTGAATAAATTTAAATTTAGAATTATTTGTTCATTTGAATTAATAAAAAATGGTTTTTTTGTTTACCACAAGTACAGTTTTCAAAATAAATAGTTATCTCACCAATCCCATTCATTATAAAACAAAAAAATTCCAACTTTTTTTACCGAATTAAAGTCGTATGCCGGTCGTTAAGAAAAAACCCGCAAACAGGTACTAATCAAGCAAACGAACAGCGCAAATCGCTCGAACAGCGCAAATCGCTCGTACATTAAACAAAATAAAATAAAAATTAAAACAGAAAACAAAATCCGCTTACCTATCGATAGGAGAACTAGAACGCTGGTAAGAGGACTCATGGCGCCAACGAGACTGACCTGATTTTCCGCCGTTCTATATAGATCCTAGTGTGCCCGAAACGACTGGAAGCCCATTCACAACTACTATACTTTTACTATTTTAGCGTCGGTTGGCAACTTAGCATTCCCGATGTGCTCACACGATGTTGGCTGATCCGATATGATCGGCCAACAGCGACATCTCGCACTGACGTCATCCACCCGGAGGGGCTCTCTCGCTAATTAAAAATTAATTAATTTTTCCACGACAATTATCCCCAATTAACGATTAGCGTGAATTTTTTTTCTTCTCCTTAATCCTCACGTCTCCAGTTCTTTGTTTTAGAATGGATTTAGAGGATTATTCGCGCCACTGTTACCAACAATTTTTTTTAAATTAATTATTTTATTAGAGTCGCTCGGTATTTAATTTATTGGAAATATGGTAGGTATTGAATTACCTTATAGTACTGCGTATTAAAATTTCATACTGCACAATATCTGATGTATATACAACAGTTATTTTCTTACTAGAAAAACAACGAAACATCACGTTTAATTTGCGTTTTATTATCAAAAAAATTCCCAAGGATTTATTACAGTCGTTATTAACTACCTAATCGTAATAATTCCAAACTCTTTTAAAACGCTGAAACCCGCATAAAAATGTATCTCGGGAGGATCTGTAAAACCTTGGATTCGAATAAAACTTTCATACCACAATGAATTATAGTCGTTATAAATGCATAAAAAACTAAAACAAAACATCGCATAAACCGATAAAAATGCAAGTTATAGCTATCTACCCCCAGGAAACCGCCTCAAAACTCCCAACAATTATTAAATATAAGCACCTTCTCGAAACCCCTTCGAGCGCCATTCGCGTCGCGTCTCCTCAACCTAATTACGTAAATAATTAAAACTTATAATTAATTTAGAGACGTCGAAATGCGGAGTTCGACTGCTCGAAATAAATAAAATAAGGCGACACTTCCCGACATTATCGGTCGCTCGGAACGCTCACCTAAAACCCACTTGTCCCGCAACTCTTTTCCAAGTTGCTTCGAGAGTTTACGTGACGAAGACGTTCCCCGGCGCTTATAAACAAAAACGAGCAAGATAACGAAACGGTTTTGAATTTATCTCTTGTCGGTTACAACGGGAAGTTTCTTCGCGAAGTTGCGGCTTATTGTTTATAACCCTTGTTCCAAATAGGTGCGACTTTTCTGCTCTTATACATTCCGATCCTCCTGACTGCGCCAATTCCGTCGATTCTATCATTACTCTTGACGCTCGCCGCTGCGCGTGTTGTTTACAATAAAGAATAATAAATGGTTGGAAAAAATTACAAACTCCATCAGAGTTTTTGCTGTGGTTCTTATGCGCTGGGACGGGAAGTTTACCCAACTTTTGATTTATGACGCGGCGAGATATAAGTCGACTCCACTAAAACCGCATGCCCGGCAACTTTTAAATATCGCCCGAAACAAACTTCTCTTCGCCGGGAGCCTCCGAAGGAAACTTTTCGATTGAAATTAACAATGGCTCGTCGATCGCAATTATTCCAACGTTTTTCCTAGGAAAGTGGACAGTAGAGACTAGCGACTATAGCGACTAGAGAGTAGCAATTATTCGTAGGAAAAGGCAATATATCGAAGCGCCTTCACGGTCTCCTGTCAAAATGCAATACGGCCGCAATTAATTCGCCTCTAAATCAAAGTATAATCCTTAATAGTGCGAAGTACGGGCGAACGAGCGCCGCGCGGAGGATGAGAAATCCATTGGAGTTTATCGAATATGCCACAATCTTGGGGCTCTAATGACCCCCCGGAGCATTGATTGCGAATACCGCAGAGATCAGCGCCGAGCTAGACAGGCTCCGGCTCTAATCCGGCGCTCCGAACAAGAGCCCGACAGTAACGGTTTCAATACCTTTACGCGCTATCTAAATTTTAATCTTACGATGCTCAACCTCTACCTCCATCAACTTTTTATCGAACACATATTGCGCTTTATTTGCTCGCTTAACCCCCGAGATTACTATCTAAATATTATTAGACTACTCAGATAAAGGCTCATTCGAGTCATCGAATCGTTGATTTTGTGGCTAGTTAAGACGATTCGCGAGGTGCAAGAAGTCCAGCACTGGATCCGGGGCTCGATTCGAAGAGGCTCGTTCGGTCGGAATGTAGTTGATCTCCCGGTCCAATTAAGCGGTAAATCGAAGCGGAAATTATTTCGGATTCGGTGCGTTGCCAGAACGAGGCGATTGTAAATAAATTCGTGACAACAGATAATTCAGGATCGGATTTATCGCTTTCGATTCCGGATTGATGGGCGGCCGGAGGAGAAGATCGCCGCCGGAACCGACGAGGGTGGATGACCGGCGTGTTGTTTATCGCCCGTGACCGATATATCGTAGATATTACGTCTTATTTTCGAGCTGGATAGACTCTGGAGTCGGTGTATCGCTGGAAATGACACATCCTCTCGGATGCATGCCGCGCAATCCGATTCTATTCCGCTTCTATTACGTGAGGGATATTCGTCTGGTTGTATCTGGATCTCTGATACAATACGGTAAAGCACGGGAGGCGATTAATTCACTTGCACACCCTTCGCAAAGTTCGCCGTGACATTAATATTCATATCGCGCACATACGCTTGTTTATTTGTTGTTCTCGTTATATTCGAATTCGGATAATAATGTAATTGCGGTTATTTATGTATTAATCTAATTGTAATAATTCACGATTCGAGCTATTATATACTAATACTTCAACACCTGTAATTATTCTCCACGCGCTTCCCTATCCCCAATTTAATGTCCGCACAAACACGCTTCCTCGAAAATGATATAAATATAATAAAAAGTAAGCGCTAAAAGACTAAACAAATATAAAAAGTGCTCTACGTAGTCTACACGATGCATTGATCGGCGATGTTGATTTGCCTGAAAAATTTCCGATTAACGCTGGGCGGTAGCAGCAAATGAAAGTCCACAGTACTCGTCCACCACCGGTACCACAAGCTAAAATGGTCCCTGATAATGAGGTAAACAGTCACCAAGTAGCCCATAATAACGGTGAACAGGAAGAGAAAAATAGCGGCTCGTATCCAATCCTTCCGCACGCCCAGCTTCGAACCCTCCGCCATGAAGTACTCCATTCCCATGGAGCTGGTTATGACGAGCGCCGCGGTGAGAATGGTCAGCAGGACGCCGATCAGCGCGTCCGATCCGATGTGGTCGCGGTTCCTCGGATGGCGCACCCACAGCTTGAGGCTCTCGCAGAGCTTGTAGCGCTTCGTCTTCATCGCTTTGAACCTGTACATGCACAGCTCGCAGTAGTTCCGGCTCGACTGGTTGAGCCAGCGCTCCAGGCAGGAGAGGTGGACGTACTCCATGGTGCCGCGGCAGTTGCAGGGCGATATCAGGCACTCGTGCACGGTGTTCGTGTGGCATATCCTGCAGACCGCCGAGGCGGTGGATTGCACCCGCGCCGGCGGCCGGACGATCGAAGGGGCGCTGCTCAAGGCGAGCTTCTTCGATTTCTCCTTGTCCAAGTCGAATTTGTCGCTGCTGTTCGAGCACGTGTTGATTTCGTCGTACATTTTAAGTCATTTTGACGGCGTCGTTTTTGATAGCTGGGAGCATTGTTCCCAACGTACGGGCGAGAAGAACGATCGCGCGAGATAATTAAAAATCGGGAAACAACGGTAACCCGTAAAACTAATCGTAAACGTTTTCGAAAACTACTAAATCGTCGACTGTTAAATGCAACTTAGTATGTTCCGAGCGGAGGAAGAACAACCGGGAGAGGAGATCGGTTTTATGGGCCATTCGGAAAGCTGTAAAAAAGTTTTACTTTTGCAGTTATGCGAACTACAAATACAGATCGATGTATTTCGACGTAAAACTTTTACGTGCCTACTTTACTTTTAATTCTTCGGAACGCCCGGCTAGGAATTGAGTCGAATTTTTTAACAGTTATGGCGGATTTACAAGCCGAATTGACAGTAAGTATTAAGTAAAGTTTCTTCTACAATACCCAATTTGATTCGATTCCGAATGCACCGAATCCTATTTTCCCTTTGTTGAAAGCGGCGAGGGAAAAAACGCGGAATCCTAGCTAAATTGATTATCGCGAATTGTTCGTTGGATTAGGTTAGATTAGCCGCTGGAGATTTCCTGAGGACTTCACTCGATACTTAATTAGAACGAGCAGTACAAAGGGCAGGAAAAATTGTCGAGTAGCTCCGGTTTCCTGCAACCCATTACGACATTGATTGCATTCCCGTTTTTACCTTCCAATAATCGATCGTCTTTTGTGCATGAGGAATTTCCGAACCACTATTTGTGTTCTTAAACTCATTTTTTAGACAGAAAAATTCAGTAATTTCGCCGGTGCACTGACCGCAGGACGCTATCTCGTTAGTTTCTGAAATAAAGTCGAGCGAAAAAATTCTTCGCTTAAAGTACTGGCTGGAAATTCCTGGCCGGGGCGTCGGCGTGGAAAATCCCCTCACGTACGACAAAAAGTCGGGGGAAACTTTTTCGTACACATAACGCGATAGTGAGCGACCCGTCGTAATTACTAACTTCATACTTTTCCTGGCGTAATACCAAGATTTTTCGCACGTTCGAACTAATTCAATCTATACCTGGCATCGGCGCGGAAAGTTCCGCCGTACGTTTTTTTTGTTCGATGCATGCGGGCAAAAGCGAAACGGTTGTTTCGGGCGAATTAACGAGTCGATTCCCCCGCATGGATCGGGCAAAGGGCGGCTCAATTAAAACCTTAATAGGGTGTAAATTAGGCGAAGTATTTAAATATTTAATTCCGCGAATTTTAATACGAGATAAGCGCTCTCGAATGGCCGCGGGGTTATTAAAATTTCCATAAAAGCAAATACTCGGACTCGGAAATACTTACGGAAGTTAAACAATAAAAACGCGGGGTCTTAAAAAATTTAAAGAATCCGAAATAAAACGTATTACCGGGTTTTATTAATCTTTTAAGCGCCAGATTAAAGTTTGGGATTTTTTTAATATAAATATTTTTGTATTCGAAAGTATTCATGCAATAGAGCAATTACAGTGGGTATCTAACAATTTATTTAGGTATTTTTTGTCATTCTTTTGTATTATAAATGAATGCAGATGATAGTGCATTTTTGTATTTTAGAAAATACTTGTTACCCGTTCCGAAAAGTAATTAAAATTCAGCAACAATGGTAGTTAATTAGAGAATTCTCTGTTTGCAGTTAATTTCCCTGCAGAGCAGGATTTCTTTCAGTTATAAATGGTCGTCTTTTTTTGTAGTATCGCCGTAGTTCGTGCAGTTTTACTATAAGTTTTTCCCTTTTATATAGGACCACTATTATTTTCCTCTTTTTGAAATTTACTGGGGTCATTTCCACCTACAACTAATTACGTTCTGCTAATTAGAAAAAATAATTTAGGTCGGGCATTAGTAAGTTAAAGCATGCCAGAATAACAACTAAAAAATTACTATAAAAGTAAATTTCATTAAAATTGCATGAACATGATATATGCGCAAGTTAAGACTCGCACGATTGTTTTAATCTCTACTAAAACAAAGTGTAACGTAGCCCAAACTTCGAGCAAGGGAATAAGCCTTCTGTTTGTTCACAACGGAATAATTATATCGCACAAATTAAAACGTAATCTCGTTAAATTATTTAAAAACGGAGCACATTCACATACATCTAAGCCATTATTTGCGAGGCAAAGGAGAATCCATTCCATTATAACCGTAAAATTTCTCGTTTATATTTTATTTACGAATGCACGCGTCGCCGGGCGAAATGCTCGTTTCTAATTCAACCCAATTTTAATGATCGAACGAATACGACAGAAATTTTATTTCTGCCGCACTATTTCCCGTATCGAATGCGCTCTTTTCTATCTTATGCACCGGAGCTATGATAAATGAACGTTCGGTCCGCGAATTTAATTCTCTTTTTCCGGAAAAGCTCTCCCGCATCCAACGACAATTTCATTACGAGAATATTTTCCTTGTCGCGATGTCACATAGCGCGGAATCGTGAAATATACACACGCCTATACAACGGTCAGTGGAACCGGCGCCCCCAACATACGATACAGTTATTATTATTATCTAAGCAAACGTAATTCTCGTGATTTACGGTTGATGGAATTAACTGGGCATTGTTACCGAAGGGGACGTGCTTAACGGGGGTTTAATTACATTACGCTTAATGTCGGGTTTTTTGTGGTTTTGTGGATGAATTAGATTTGGATATTTCTGTGTACTAAGGGAGGATATTGCTCGTTGCTCTTTTAACCCGTTTCATTTGCACACTATTCTCCTATATTTATTTTCCTCTAGTATTTTCCAATACGTAAAAAGACTTGTGCAGGATTCGAATCTTTCCCTCGGTCATGAAATTCGAGATCCTTATACATCTCGTGTTCGTTTCGGCTGGCAATTTCGCCCTAAATGAAAAAACAAATTTCGCTTTCACGATCGACATAAAAGAGATGTTTTTTTTTGTTTGTTTTCCCTTCTATTAATTTCCCGTAATTCCCCCGCCCGCCTCAATCAATACTTCCCCCCGCCGCCGGCGGTGTCGCTGTCTCCGCTACAACGTAATGGATTTCTTTAGGTAAACGTCCGCGAAATCGATATTACACGTAAACTTGCACGGAGAAAACATTACATTTTTTCTCTAATTTGTCAACTAACACACCTCAACTCTCCTATAGGCACTAATTAACTAAGTAATAACACGCCCGAATAACCTCGTTAACCGAGACATTAGTAGGAATAATAAAAAAAGAAGAAGGAACTAAATAATCCCGCTCTTTCATTTTCTCCCTTAGTAAAAATGCTTCGCGATATCCAAAGAACCCTCGTTAAAATCTTGCCTTTTCCGACGACGTTATTAAACATTATTTTTATTGGGGGGAGCGAATTTTCTTTCGGGGCCTCGGCTAATTAGTCGGGACTTTTTGCACGCACCCCGTAAGCACTGACGGGGACAAGGAGATAGGGGTTGGTCGCGGCGAAAAGAAAGACGCGTCGGGACGGGAGAACCGCATAGCCGGAGGGCGCTGGATGGGAAGTCGATTTCCAGACCGGCTCCTAAAGCTAACTGGGTCAAGTATATCCTGGATGTGGGGTTTGCTTTATTGTGATTTTTTTAACACCCCCGTTTGATGTAGCGAGTCTGGCGACGATAATACACCCGATAAATGATGGGAAATTAGCCAAAATCGGGGAGCGTTAAATTTTAATTCAATATCGAGATTGGGGATTCGTTAAACAAATCCCTAATATCGGCGGGAACGCGTCTCATCGGAATAACTAAATTTATTTGTTTTTCCGCAGGCGATAAAATCGATTCGGATAAACTGAGGAAATGTAATTTTTTTTCCTCTTCGCCGGAGCGCCGCATAAGAGCCCACTCTTTATGCAAATATTTTAAGTTCAGTCAGCAATTTTCCTCCTTATAACCGCCTTGTTCGCGTATATTTCAACATTTCGATTCGGTAATTGCCGATGCCGAACCGCGCGCTTTCCCGCCAAACTCATCAAAGACCCCACATTGGGCGTACCGAGTTTTTTCATACCAAACTTAAACAGGGAGTATTATTGAAGAAAATTAGGTTCGTCCGGGAAACTTCTCGTTACTCCGATAATGTCGACAATCAATAATTGTCAATTAAGACGTTATTAATCGAATACTAAGCGATGTTACGGTATCACCAACTCCCGAGTTTCGGAAAGAAGTTGGCCGGGATAACGATCTAAATTAATCGTGAACTGTCGCCCGACATTTCGACGGTGAGCTTGGCAACTCCGATTATCTATCGATGCTTTCAATTAACCACTAATTAACCAATCCTCTTTAATACTCAAGAATATTTGTATATACAAATTCGTTTCATCTGGTTCGTGAAGTAAATTAGTTTTAGTAATGAAAACTAGTAAAAAAGGAGTAGTAAATTTTACCCTAGGTTAGCTCGAAGATGATTTTCTGTCTAAAGATTGTATAACGTAAGTACAAGGGAAAAGACGATTATGATTAATTAAGGGATAAAGACCCAACCCTTATTAAAGGCGCACTGTCAGGAATATGAAGTTGGTGTATAAATTATAATAAACAGTTTATTAAACGCGATTTCGACGCGATAATCCTCTCCCTGTATTTAAAATTTCAACGTATAACGGATCTCTCCCATCCAACCGAATTTCCAGTACATTACTGAACCGAACGCACCGAAGAAAATTCAATAAAGTCATCAAGTGTTTTAGGATCGTTTTTTCTCTCTCCCTTACCGCTTTGCGGCGCTTTAAATACGTCTATATTGCTTTTTGATGTCGCCTCGTCAAATGTTTTTACATGGAATGCTCGTCTGGAAATAATGCCGGCGAATTCGGCGAGCGCAGATACGCCAGTCGAGGTGCATTATCCTCAACGTTGCTTTATTACACCTCAGCCCGGCGAAATGGCTTGCGAAATTGAGGTTACGGCTCGGGAATATATCAAATATGAATTCGCGAGTGCGATGGCTTCCGAAAAACCGACCGCGAGCAGTCCTGGAACGTCTGATTGATGGCGCCCGGACGTTCGAACGACTGTTTCGGTTGCATTTACGCCTAAATAAAACATTACGCCGGGCTAGTGCACGGGATTCGAGGAATTGATTGAAGTCGAGCCGGTGTGTTTTCTTTTTGCAGGTGTCGTGGATCAGGAAGCGGGATCTGCACATACTCACCGCCGGCATTCTGACCTACACGTCGGACCAGCGGTTCCAGGTGATAAGGCCGGATAAATCGGACAATTGGACGTTGCAGATCAAATTCCCGCAAATCAGGGACTCGGGCATCTACGAATGTCAAGTTAATACAGAACCAAAAATGTCTTTGCCTTTTCGACTGAACGTTATAGGTAATTTACTTTTATATACCACTACTAACAAGACGCTATTCTATTATTATTATTTAATAAATCCCTCATGATCTTCTTAGGGATAGATAATTGTAGAGGAAAAAATAATTCCCGTAACGGCTGGTATTTTATCGAATGTTTCGTTTTAATTATTCGTATTTATGCTTTAGTCAGATACACCGGCGCTTAAGGGAGCCGCCAGGTGAAGATTTTAATTACATTAAGCTATTAATTATGCCATTCTAATTCGCTTACGATAGACTCATTCGTTATGTCGCGAATAAATACCGGCGAAAATGAAAATTACAACGGCGAATGTGATTTATTGTAATATTTGTCGCTATATCTCGTGTTTTTAGCCGGTATTTTTTTAACGAGATTAATTTCGTTGATCGATAAAATTTTCGTTTACTCCGTTATTTAGTTAATCGATTAAACGAGGTTGTCTTAATATTAATGATTCAGATCTAGTTAATATCGCGTTTCAAATAAACCGCCGATTTCTGCGATTCCCGCATCTTGCCGGCCATTTCCGCCGAGAAAGGTTCGTTTTCCTATTAAATATTTAAATGAAAAACACGACAGCCGATTCTGATTGCGTACGTTCGAGTAAGATAAATACCCCGATTCGGGGTGAAATATTTAACGAAAAACCCTCCAGCCGGGGTGGATCTCTAATTTCCCTAATTCGCGCTTGAAAAATACCAGGCATCGCGAAATCTCTCGGCTCATTTTCCGAAACCCGTTCCTCAACTATTATTCAACACAATAACCGGCACGTGAGGTATCCGTTTTATTTATTCCGAGCGGGCGAAGGGAGCTCTCCCATAATTCAGGAGCGGGACGTTTTCGGCTGATGGTCGGTTATTTTCAGAAGCGAAAGCTCGCATACTAGGACCAAGCGATTTGCACGTGAAGGCCGGCAGCTCCATCACTCTCAGCTGTCTTATAAACCAGGGCCCGCACGACTTAGGGACGGTGTTCTGGTACAAAGGCGAGAACATTCTGGAGACGTCAACTCAACGTTACACCAACGACGCGGATTACACGAGTAGACTCACGATTGAGGTAAGAGGATTACAGGCATTCCCTTAGATATATAACCGTTCGTCTATACAGGGCGTTTTCGATATGATTCGCGCTTAACCCCAGGTGTTATCCGAACCTGTAACTCGGGAATAAATTGGGTGTTCCCCGATTACAATGCGGCTTGCATCTCGGCCTCGTACAATATGAGGTCGCGACGCCATTATGCCCATAAATTGGGGCTTTCGGAGTTGACGACAAAGGGACGCTTTGACGCCGGAGGTGTGGAAAGACTTAGTTAAACGGGATCATCGGTTTACTTTAGATTTAGTGCCCGCAATAACACGGATTCGGGGGAATTTAAAATAATTTCGTCCCGAAACCGGATAATGGTCCTATCCTTGCAAAGGCGCGCGGAGTTCTCGATTGGTGGATTAAACTCTATATGCTATATGTGGCTTTTTATGCGAAGTGTGTAGTTTTTTTTTGTTGTTAGTTCGAGTCGATTTCTGGGAGAAACTTCTGTCTCTCGAGTTGGAAACTAAGTTTGCTTGAACGAATATCCCTTAACGTCGCCGACAAAGTCCCCTACCGCAATGAGACCTAGTTGCCTAATACAGGATTCCGACGAGATTTCATCTTTAAGTAGATTGTGATTTTGCATGAAACACAAACTCAGAGAAGTAGATCGTGTATCGAGTTTTATTTCGTGCAAAATTATGCTCCCACTTAATTATTAGCTGTTGAAAAAATTCCCTTTGAACCGCCCGGAATGCCAAAGGAAGTTTTGTAGTAGGTATTGCAAGTTTAATTTTACTTCTAAAACAGAAACTGCAGTATTCTCCTCGGAAAAAAGTCGTTTTAAATCTGAAAAGTGAATCAAAAACATTCCGAACGGAACAAAGGAAGTCAAATAAAGAAAGTGCAGTCTTCGACAAAATTGTTTTAATTTTCTACTCATACATTTTTGCTCTGTTTTGCATTCAGTTACCACAATTTTGTTATAAGCAATCAACTCGGGTATAGAGGGTATATATTTGATTAGAAAATTAAACGTCAATTTCAAACAGATGCACGTTTGTTTAATCGAACATCCCGTCATTAAATTGACAAAAATTTTGTAAGTCACCAAATTTTCCAAATTTAAAATGAATTACTTCCGCAATAAATCGAACAAATCCCGCAAACCCGACCAATCGGGGTCAAACTACACCAACCAGAAGCTCGAACAGCCGTCGCAAGAGGACCAGCGAGACCAGCAGCAACTCATCGACCAAAACGCACAGCAACACCAACAACAGCAACAGCAACACCAGCAACAGCAACAGCAGCAGCCGCAGCCGCAGCAACAGCAGCAAATGAACAACACCCCCGTCGACGTGCAGCACCGCCAGCCCTCGAACCATTTCTACGCGTACCCGAACGAGCCCATGCACCAGCAGATGGCCCAAATCCAGATCCAGCCGATGTCCCACTTGCCGCCCATGCCCGTCACCCAGCCGCCCATGCCCATGCTGTCCAACCAGATGCCCTCTATGATGCAGCCGCAGATGGTGAACATTCCGCAGATGCAGCCGGCGCCCAGCGGCCAGTCGGCCAGCGGCCAGACGCAGAACTATTTCATACCGCCCGAATTGTACGGGCAGTGCACGGGCTACCCGCCCAGTTACACGAGGAAAGCGGCCTGAGGGGGATCCCGCGGTATAGTTTAAACGTAGCGTCGCCACTCGATTTGCTTTGTTAGTAATAGCGTGTATTAAATGTGCGTTAGGATTTTGAACTAATAAAAAATTGTAAACGAATTTAACTGTCGAGTCAGGAACGTTATTTGAGTAGAAAAGTGAAGCGTGTAATGAGAGGTCGGAGTAATTTTTTTTTCGCCTTCTGCAACTTCGACTTCAAACAGTCGGGAATCCCGCTATCGGCGAAGTCAAATACACAAGTAATATATTTCTTCGGCTTAGATTTTGAGGCCTAATAAAACTTTTTAGCCGAGCATTTTTCATTTGGCTGTCTCTCCCATCCACCCGCGGACGTGTATAACAAACTTTTCTCTACTTTTATGATGAAAAATATCGAGTTCTCCACCTGAAGGGGACGAAAGGGAACTTTCGGAAAGTTCATTATTGATTTCAATTTTTTTCCTCCGGCAATTCGAGCACGATGCGAATATCAATTCCCGGCAATCGGAAATGAATTGTTCCATCGGCCAGGGGCGGGTTACCCATCACCAGGTGAAACAGAAGGAGCTAATCTTCTGGGCTAACAATCGAGATGCCCCTTGAGCCTACCGGACTCATTTTTATTTCTAATTATCTTTCTACCTTTCTCTCCACTTTTAACGAATTTCTTTTCAAAAAGCTCATTATAAGATGACATCAATTTCTTGTACTTATATAAGTGGAACAATGCGAATTTGATGGTACCTAAATTAGGGCATGTTGGAAATTTCTGAGGGGTATTAATAATAATGAGATTATTAATGCGGGTAATAAACATAGCCGGAAAATCGCGAAAACCAGACGATAATGTTGATTTTCTCAAAGCAAATTCGGTAAATCATACCCGCCCGACTTATGCAAATGTTGGTAATAAATTTTAAGTACCATTTATCTTTATTTTAACGTAATTTGATTCGGTACAGGAGCCAGGCATTCGGCTCACGTTCGTTCCAATAAGCTCTAAATGGCGGCTGACACGTGTTACCGAATCGGTAGACTGAAAATTGCCAGACTTTGGAGAAATAATGGTCGTATAGCCGTTGATCCGAAAAAATAACGTTATTCCGATATTTACACATTTACAGTCCGAATCCGTCCGTCGATATATCGACCTCAGCCAGCGGGAATTTCCCGAAGAAAAACCGCTTCTTTACGTTCCGCCTGATTGTTTTCGCCCGGAGAACTCGAGTCGTTTTACAGTAAATGCAAATTGAGGGAAACTCTTAACTGCCAAAAGTGCACACACGCTCCTAACTTATAACGTACACAAAGTTGCTCAACTAATTGGGAAGTTTACGTTTAGTTTTGACGTGGAAATGTGAGCATCAGGATCCGATGCTCGAGGAGCTGGAAAGATTCACAACTAGAAATTAGCCGATAGGAAACCGTTATTATCTAATGAACCGTATTCTATCGCTATTTGCACTAAACATACACAATTTAATCGGGTTTTTTTTAGAACCAATGGCTGGACGGTTTGTCTTCGAAATTGCACATTTCGAACGCCCATATTTCGGATTCTGGCAACTACACGTGCGTACCCACCGTCGCAGGACCCACCAGCGTAAACGTGCACGTTATTAACGGTAAGCTCGCACGATTAGCATCCACTTTATGCATTCTCGTCCGCCGCTAAAGTACTAATTAATATTTCATTGCAGGCGAGCACCCGGCTGCGATGCAACACGGCAACAAGAATACGGCTTCTCTATCTCTTTCGATCCAAGGCACTATTGTATATAGTATTTTCGTCATAGTGACTAAACAAATTAGATGAAACACTGTAAATATAATTATCATTCGTCAACCCTCATTCTGAAGATCCTTTTAATCATGATTGCCCGAGATAAGCGCGCCAGAGGCGAGAGCCTTGCGGATAAATACTCAACTAATAATCGACGTTGTCTTCGTTCGAAGAAGAGTCTTGTTGATCGATTAGAATTCCGGCGGGCTTTCGCGGCTCGCGCGGCTCGTGTTCAATAGACCTTTGAATCCCGAATGTCTTCTTAAATATATTTAAAAGCGTTTCACTTTTCGATTTGAATAAAAACGAAACGAGTTTCTGAAAACATATCTTGTGTTGATAATAGATAACAGGATTGGGTTGCGCTCTCTCTATCGCTGAAATTACGCGGATTATTCACACCAAATAGATTTGCGGGCACTGAAACAATCACTCTTTCTACGCGTAAGATCGATGAATTCTATTCACGCTGTTTTCGATATGGAATAGAGTTTAATTTTTGATTCTCAACGAAGTTCATTGTGTGACACAACAATAAATATTATTAAACAGTCGTTGCCCGATGAGAAATTGTACGAGATAAATTGGTTACGATCCGAATCTACAGGTGTTATTATTCATCGTAAAAAATGAAGAACATTTTCTTCTTATGTAAAAGGAATTATGACAAAAAAAACGACTAGCAGCTAATCTTTCTCTTTACAAAAATTTTAATCGTGTTAAGGGAAAAATAAAATGTTAAATGTTACATATTCATTTTGTTTTGCCGAAATGAGTTATTAAAAAATTACAATTCTGGTTGATAATCATCAAATGTAGATATGATTTATAGACTCAAACTTTTTGTATAAATAAATATTTAATGTTTACAACTGTTATTTTTTAAGTAACCTCCATTTTTCCAAAGTAAATTTCTTGAAAGTATATTATAAAAAAACATATACAAATTAATGTTTATAAAAATAATAGTTTCCTACTTTATTGCAATGATTGTATGCATAATTCAGTCTTAAATTATTCTTTAACCTACCACAATTCGCTAAGAGATCTCTTGTTAACAAAACAATCTTTAAAACCTTTGACTAAATCTTTAAATTTGTACCAATCTACGTCAGTTTCGGCCTGCTCTGTATCACATACATCGTTCACCGAGCATGATTTTTCATTCACATCGTCAAAAATTTCTACATTATCACAACAATTTGTATCGAGCACGTTACTCGATTTAAATATGATGTTCGTACGCTTCATTTTTGGAGAAAAATTCACCGGATTCGTGGGAACAAATACGCTTTGTTCTGCTAAACTATCACTGTTAACTCTAGTTTTTAAAATATATAAAAATATATTAGTGCACGTAGAAGATCCTTCGATTCTATCTAGCCAGTCTTGAGATAGGAACAATTTTCTGAAACAGTAATTGTGTGTTAAAGTATGTATTTTATTGTTAAACTTTCTTACCTTAGTATTTTCTTCTGGTATTGATTCAGTTGTAATATATGATTTCTTTCGTTATGGCCTTCGACTAGGGAAGAAAACTTGATGGAGAAGACTTCATTTGCAGTAACCGGTGTGGTACCGAAAACTATTAAAACTTCTCGAATACCAGACTTCCAATGGGAAAATTCGTTCTTCAACTCTAACATAGCCAACTCGAGTTTATCGAAAACGCCTGATACGAGATGAAAATAATTAGCAGCCCTAATATCTACCTTTTCTCCTTCGGTTTTCTGCCGCTTTCTAGTCACTAGAGTCCTCATGCAGTCGTAAGTGTAAGGAATTTGGCTTTTTTGATACAAAACTCCTTTTAGAACTTCGCTCACTAACGATGAACACGAGAGCGGCGTTAAAAGTATATCTGTAACGTTGATATGTAACGAAAAATTAGTTTTTTGATCGGTATTCATTATAATTTTAGTAAAATGATACTTCTTGCTTGTATAAACAAATATAAAGTGAGGTTAATCGATCATTAATGTCATTACTGTCAAATATGTCAATTTCATAGTGGCCTGTTACATAATTTGTGTACGAATTGAGTGAAGTTAGGAACAATTAGATTGGTAAGGATTTACAGAAAACTGTATTATCGAATTAGACAAATGTCAGTTAGTTGTGAAGATGGCGTAATATTTCTGAAAAAAACCCGCAATTAATAAAAATCATTCGTGAGTATATTCCATTTATAAATAATCATTTACACATCTTTAATTCTCTTGTCCGTTATCCTCTTTTCAATAATTATACAAGTTATAAAAAAATGAAACAACGACATACAAAATAATAATTTTAATTAAATATCCAAATAAATATTGTTTTCATATAAACCTATATACAGAATAATGTATAAGTAGAAATCCATCTTGGCAGCATCCAACGAAACAAATCTTGGAATAATCTTAAAAAATTTAGGAACTAACAGAACAAAAACCACAAAAAATATCATCGGGACTCCGCCTCAGTCGTTATCGTCTTTCTTTTTCCTCAATTTCCCTTCCCTTTGGATAGTCCTGGTCACTAAATCGACGCACTCGGCTACAGGGGGATCGGTACTCTCGTCCTCCAGCATAGAAGACAAAGTCATTATGTAAGAGCACGCTATCCTCAACACCGACAACTTGGACAGCTTTTGATTGTGAGAATAGGAAGGAATCGAACGCCTCAAAGTATCGAAAGCGGCGCTAATAGTGTGCACCCTCGTCCTTTCCCTAGCATTCGCCTCAATTCTCCTTTCCCTGGTCATATTCTTGTAATTCCTCTGCTCCCGGCGCGCCGCCTCGGCGGACTTCTTATAGACGCCGACGCCGGCGCCGGAAGCGACGCCGAGGTTCGGAAACACCTCCGTCGATTTGAGTATGAGCCGCTCCGTTTCGACGGCGGACAGGTTCTGGATCTGCGGGTGCACAGGTACTCGGATATCGTCGGGTTCGGGATCGCGCTTCTTCACCAGGTCCTCGGGCTCGGACTGCGCGTAGCCCGCCGGCGAGGGGGGCCGAAAGTACGGCGCGAACGGCGCCTCCGCCTTCGCCCGGGCGGCGTTTTGGCATTCGATTTTTGGTAACTGGAAGTTCAGCGGCTCCTCGGTCTTGACCGCGTCGGGCTGCTTGGGCGCCACCGGGGGCGCCGGGCTCCACGGCCTGAACGGGTGGCTGTCGTTGATTTCCGCCTTGACTTTGAGGCACATGCGCTTCTTCAGCGGGCCCGTGAACGTTTCGGGGGCCTTTCGTTTTTTGGTCAACGATATGGCGGAGACTTTCACTTCGACGCTGTCTTCGGAGCTGTCTGTGGGAGAGTGCAGCTCGTTCTCCAGGTAGTCTTCGCTCGAGCAGAAGCCCATATCTTCCGAGGATAATGCCATTTTGATATCTGTAACGGAAATTACTGGATAAGTTTTTTTATTCAATTGCTGTAGTAGGCATTTTATGAACAAACAATACCAGTAAATGTAAGAAAATATGTACCAAAGTACGAATTAAACTTGAGAAACAAAACAATTTTCGTACTCGAAATCGTTCGTGTAATTTATTATCTAACCGAATCCTTCGCATCGTCAGAAATTCGCTGTGTTCCAAAAAATCCATCAACGTGGAAATTAATTTCGCCGATGAATTGGTACAAAGAATCGTTTAGTTTCCTATGATCGTGTTTACAAGCAGAGGAACATATTTTTTGTACAAATTCCCAAACAAATCTGTGCGCCCACGCTCGCCGAGTAAATTCGAATTATTGGGCGTATTTTTAGCGGTCGGAATTCTAAAAAAACCGCGTGAAAAGCTTGTAGCTGCTCGTAATTTTTCTCTAAATAGATTCTCGGACCAAATGGTGGAAAACTATTTTTTTAGGAACATAAACACCGGAGCAAATTGGATTATAAATAAAGGAAAAAGGTCGGGCGAATTCGAGTCATTTGGTAAGAATTTGCGTTTCGAACAGCTGTCCAATAAAATTGTACACATTTGTTCCAGTTACTTAGTTGTTGGAAATAAAAATGTGGTGGTTATCGAAATTTAAATTGGGATTGTTTGGTATATTTACTTGGAAAATATTAAAATAATTTTATGTATGATAGTGTGAAGAATCATTTTTATATTCTAAATATTTGAAATTGATTAAAATAATTTAATTAATACAAAATGATAAAAAATGGATTTTACAAATAAACAATTAGATAAGGCAGGTTTCTTAACTTACAAGTGTGAATTTTGAATATTTTTATCACGATATTAAAATTTATTTATTTGGATAATCCCAAATAATAGTATTTCCCACCCATAAAAATATTATTTTACTTTAAAAACATTTACTTACATTTATTAAAAAATAAACTAAAATACTGACCTTTAATAGAAAAACTAGAACGTTCACCATTCGTCATAATATTCCATGAAAATAAACGAAAAAAAATTAAAACTTTTATCACAGCACGAGGTCCTTATGGCACGGTATCCGCAGACAAAACACCCCCAAACAATCCGACCGCTCCACCAGCACTGAACTCCAAATATCGCCCAGCAAATTTCGAGATATCGCTCCTGCGAGTGCGATCTCGGTGCACCCAAACGTGTTGTGCTCTCCGCGTTGTGTACGTGTGTACTCTCGATTGCGACTCGCGAGCCTCGCTCGTTCTTGCCCTGCTCGCCTGAGTCTTGCGACTTGCGGCTCCGATTCCAAAACATCGGGCTCCGCATTGGGAAGAGGGGGGTGTGGGCGCACTCTTGGCGCCAGCTGTCTGCCCATGCTGACTTGTTAAGTGTGAGAAGTAACAGGGCACAGGGCCCGATGCTTTGGAATTTACAGGTGCGGACCTAGTGGATTCGACAAGTGGATCCGCCTTCCTCTTTGTACCAATGAAATGGAAATGGAATCTGATCTACCGTACAGGTAGAAAGTATTTCAGAAAATTCAAGATCCTGGACAATTTGTTCAATCCATTCAATCATCAAAGTGAAAGTACCTACACCTCTGTAAAGGCAGATTTGTTAATGGAGATAGTAAATAATCGAACTAAATGTTATCCTCATCATCTTCCAACTTTAACTTCTTCTACATTCTCTGCGATTTTGCGGCAAGTCCAAGTGGACCTCTGGAGTGACTGCAGGTGTAATTTCGATCGCTTCTTCAGCGCCAGCGGAGCGCCCAAAAGCAATTACCGGGTGAAATTTAGTGTGGGAAAAAGCGAAGTGGTCGATTGGATTTGGCGATGGGTCCAGCTCTGCTCGCGGGGAATGTCGACTTTAACGAATAACGATGCAGGTGGACCGCTTTTTTCATAAAAACGTTTCGGCCGGTGTTGCGAGCCCGCTACCCGGCGCAGGTACGCGACGGGGGGGCGCGATCGGCTTTTTAACGCCACTTGTAATATCACGCTTCGACAGGTACCCATCCGTAGACGGGCTAATTGTTGTTATCTACTTGGGGGAAGCTGCAATAAAACCTAAAAGCCGTGTTATTATTCTAAACTGTAGTAATCGCCGGTGCGCGGAGACTTCGCCCTTCCCCTTCGTGCTATTATTTATTGCTAGAATAGAGTTAAATTGTTACAACAAGGATACGAATTTGAATAATTCTTAAGAAATCGATTTCATTCGACTCTGGTAAACATATTGTGATATCGCTATTTATTTTACTTGATAAAATGACGCGGTGCACGAGGAATTTAAACGCCGCGTCGCGCTTGTTAGGAAACAAATTTTATAATTACCCATTAATTATTATCTAAGCGAATAGAACGTTCGCATCGACGGAACAAACAAGGTTCGTTAAAATTATGCAAAAATCTGGTTCTATTCTTCAATGAAAGGATTTCGATAGAAGCGGATGTTAATCGGAATTCCCATTAGAGCTCTTACAAAACAAGAATCGCCCGAATTTCCAAACGATCTTCCTTCAATGCGTCCCGCATTACATGGCCTATTCATTGATTAATCGGAGAACTAACTAGGTAAGAAATCGCTTATATTGAGGGCTACACCTTCAACAAAATACCTGTCTGCATAACGTCCGTCCCCTTTTCGAAATGAGAAATCAAAACGTCTAGAAACCGGCCGGAGGCCAAATAACACAAAAAAAATAGCCGACGGTGTCAGACTGGCCGCTCGAATCTGGCGCCAACTTTTCACACCTCTAATTTTTCCGTTTCAGACCACACCAGAAATTTTATATGCCGGTATTTTCCCACCGATATTTTACATATCTTGTTACTTCTTGATTACACCGATAAGGTTTATCATCAATCCACCAACAAGGTTATTTTCACCCGACTCTCCGGAATAGTCGAATGAAGGATAGTAAATTGAAGCGCTCGTATATTTCAATCATTTCAACATTTATGTAATTATAAATAATCTGTAATTATAGTTTTGTTTGTTGTAGAGCTAATATTCTTGGTAAAATTAGGGCATGTTTTGACCGGCGTGCGGGCTACAAGCGAGTCTTGCCAGTTGTTCAGTTATTCATTTGGAATCGTCTATCGTTGCTCTTGCCAAGAACTCCATACCACGCTGCACTCTATTAGTCGTATTTCTTATAAAACAAAAATATAATAATAAAAGAATACGAAATGCCTGTACCAGCGCCAGCGCCAGCGCTATTATACAACCATTGTGACAAATAGGCGTAGGTAGTTCTGTTTAGCAAGTTTATATTATTATATTAATTTATTCATCCCTATAGTTTTATGGAAGAAGATGTATGTAAAAAGATTTTTCAAAATTATTCTAGACAAAACCTAATAAAAATTTCAGTAACTGTACACATCATCCAAAATGAGTAAGCACAATGAGATTGTATGCAAATCCAACGATTTCAAAAATTTCACAGGTGCAAATAAACTTGTAAGTAGGCACTTCATTGAGTTCAGATGTTTCAACACTTATAAATATAGCGATAATAGTAATTTTAATCATTGTAATCATTATCAGTAATTCCTAAAAAAAGGGAGTAATTAGTTACAAATTTGGCTTATCTCCAATTGGTTATTAAATGTTTACTTCTATTTATGTAGTACCGATACACCTATGTATGCCGAATAAAGTCCATCATCCAATGATTTTGTACTCGACAATCAAGCAATTAATTAGCAACAATTTCTTAGATAATTCGAAATGTACTTAAGCAATTACGCAAGTTCATCTCGAGAGGTCCTTGTGTAAACAAGAATTCCTTCTTTTAGTTCCTCGTGCCGACTCTGGCTTCGCAATTGCGATATCATTGCCAGATGCAGTCGATGATATTTTTAATTGGATCGAAAAAACGCCCAGCAGGACTTGGTCAATTTCGAGAATCGTATTTCAAATCTCGATCTACCATCTTAAATTTTATTACACAATGTGTATGTAGTTTTAGTACAACTCGAATAGAACCTACGCAGGTAGTTGTTTGTCAATTTGTATGGGTTGTAAATTTAATATTGTGGATGATAATAATAAAACAATTTTCGGAAATCTATTTGCATTCAAAACAATTTAGGAGTAGTTCGTGCGTAATCTAAAGATGCAGCTATTAAAAACGTATTAGCATCGATTATTCCATAGATAAGTAGTCGGAAACTATTCTTCCGATAAAACCGCGTAAATGGCATTAGTGGATAAGAACTCTGTTTTCCCATTATGCCCCAAATCCTATTTACGCCAAGTTTTCCCCAACAACACCAGATTTCCTCTCCTATACTTCGCCGAACTAAAACAGAAAATTCAAATTTCGCCCGAAGAGACAATGACTAAGAGCACCGGCGACATCGGCGGTGACGACACGTCGGGACTTCCATATGGCCATCGACGGATACAATAACAAATTAAAAACAAATCTGTAATATGTAGATTGTGCAGTGGTACGGTATGCTGAATGTAGAAGGGAAAACACAGATGTGATGTTGTAAATCAGCATTATACCCGGACTTGGACGTTCTGTGGGAGAGGTGCGGGGGACGCTGAAACAGTGAGAAGTGTTTTTAGAGAACGCCTCGTTTGCTCCATTACCGTAACGTTACTCCATCCGAATTATTTCCGATTTGTTTCATAGTAAGCTTTTATTAAGGTGATGGTACTTTCACAACGAATATTTGGTGTTTTAAATGATTCTAGCGATGTAATATATTCGTATAAAAAAGTGTGATAGTGTAATTGTGTATGGGTAAGTGTTATGGTGCAAACGGCGCGCGCCTCGTTCGAGAGGCGACCATCTGGCCGGTGGCATTCTTCTGGTGTAGCACTACTACTTGTGCGGTATTATTTATGGCGAGTCTATGGCGCCAGCTGGCCACGGTCACTGATCCAAGCTGGCACTGGTACACACACACACACATATACACACTCACACACACTCATACCTATCGCCGGCTCTCTCCTCGCCGCTGCCGGCCCGTTCGTTCTCTCCTCCTTTTTCTCCTTCTTCATCCGGCCCGCCGGCCGCCCGGCTAGCTTCGTCTCGTTCTCGCCGAGATCTCTGCCGCCAGCCGCTCTCTCGCCCAACGCCGATATTTCCCGCTATCACGCTAGATTTCGTTCGCTAAACGCCAAAAGTTACGCACGATCGCGGATGCATCATCCCCGGGAACTCTCCTTCGATCACTTTTTTTCTACCACGTTTTGATTTCTTCAGTAATCAGTAGGAATTTCAGGGGAATCCCAAATTTATCAACCAGATATTCTTCTATAAGTGGGTGCAGTTCAGGGAATGTAATATCTTATCGCAGTATTCGTTGATAGCCAATACAATGTCGTACATTCTTCTGTAAATAAATAACAGGAATTTCCTTTCCGTAAAATAGGACAGGACAGTTTGAAAAATCGCCACGCTGCAGCCGCGCATCAATTGTATAACGCTAAATGGGTTGGAGAGTTTCGAAAATAGACCGGCGATTAGCCCGGCGAAGCGATCGCGGACATGTATCAATAAAACCAGGTGTGCCGGACGCCGAGCGTCGGGACGGCCGCGTCGGCGGTGACAACGACATAACAACGGCGCCACACCGAGGCGTTGCTTCGTCTCCGACCCCCCCCCGTATTCTTGGCTCCGGCTCGAGCGTATCTCGGCACTTGGCACCCGATCAGCCGCATGCAGTTTCGCTCCTCTACCAGCCGACTGGCCGGCTTCGAGAATGGACCAGCCGTGACCCCGCGATAAATCGCGCCGACTGCACTACGATCGCCATGGGAGAATTAATCTTACCGAAGTGTAAGGAACCGATGAGTTTATTGGAGCATTAAAAGATAGATAAAAATGATAGTAAAGTGGATTCATGATGGAGATATCCAGACCAGACCACAAAAACAGGCTCTAACTCTAATCGAATTGCTCGAAATTTTAAACTTTCATTTACTAAACTATCTAATTTTTATAGTAGTTTTTGATGACTATTGTCTAGTAATTTAGTGACTCTTTATATATAAAAAACAGAATGTGGATGTAAATTGGGATGGTAAGTGCAATTGGATCGAGCCCGAATTATGCACTCCTACACGGGGGCGTACAGTGAATGTGTTGTTCTCACGCAGCAAAGAGGAATGCCGCCGCATTCATTATTTTCCACAATAAAACATAAAATACGGTGTCCGACAAAAAGCGCGGCGGAAAAGGTACCAATGCGAAGAGCCCCGCTATTAAAGCGAACGATATTTTTAGGTAGCCGAAGATGCGGCGTTCGAAATAGTCTAGACGAGTTGATAAAACTATCAATAACGTTTATCTGGAAGATTGTATAATTACATGGCGATTTGGCCGGTTATCTGGATGATTTAGAGCGCTTATAACATTCGTGTTTTCGCACGTGTTTTATAAATAAATTTAGTCGAGCGGGTCTCGGAAGCGAAAAATATTTCTGGATTTTGTCATTCTCGCTTCGAAATCAAACAAAACACCACACCTGCGGATTATTTTCGAATTCCTCTGGGCGGTGAAATTTTTGCGCAATTCGCTAACTCCTACGAAAATAGAGCGGCGCGTGATTAATCCGGCTCTTTGTCCTGCTCTCCGACAAATGAACCGTACGATTTTATTTTATTTAATTTACCAACCTACCTGCAGTTATGTAATTATTATACTTATAGAACAAGGATTTCGCCGTGTACTTGCAGCAGTACACGAGGAAAATATGTGACTCACAGCGAGTTAACAATAAATTTTCAAGAACAATGAAGGCGACTGGCGTCGGTCGAACGTTCCTCGTCGCCGGCAAGACAACTTTAAAAAGGTTAAATCACCATCCACATGCTGCAGCGACGTTGTAAATCTTCGCGGAAGATAAAAAAAATGACAGAAACTCGCAATACGGTGT